GGGTGGGGAGGCGGCGGCGGAGCAGGGGCTGAGGCGGCGCGGCGTGAGGCGCGGAGCGGCGGGCCGTGGCGGCTCCCCGGGCTCAGGCGGGCTCCCCGCCGTTGCCGTGACGGCCTGTCGTTGCCTGTCCCTGTGGGCGCCGCAGCGCGCTGCCCCGCCTGCGTTGCCCGGGCCGGCAGGGCAGCGAGCGTTCGCAGTTGTCCTCCGTGGTGCGGAGGTGTTGGCTCGAAATGTGCGTGAAATGTAGGCGAGGGAGCTTAGGCGCTACTGGTTACGGCTAAGTGAATTCGGAAGGAAAGCTGCGGTGCACGTCCCCTGGGAGAAGCCGCACGCCTCTCTTAACTGGAGACGGCGTTGGTTTGCGGGTCCGGTCCTCTGGTCTTAGGTGTGCGAGCATCGAAAAGAACTGATGGTGAGAGCGAGCGAGCGAGGGGAAAAAGATCAGTGAATATCTTCCTACGTCCCTGTGTTGGCATGGATGTCTAACTACTACTAGTGGAGAAACATCCGAAGGAGTAAGCCGGAGTGCTGGCACTGGCGGGGTGTGTCAGCGTCAGAGAGAAGTGAGGAGCCGAAAAGGCGGGCAGAGCTGGTGTTGCTGGCTAGGTGGGGGAGATGGGAAGCGACTGAATAGTATTCATTTCTCTTCTTTGTAACTTTGCTTGAAACAATTCTGTTTGCTTGAATCAATTTGCTTTTTCTCCCCTTTCTGTAATGTTTTGCAGTATAAAAATGCTGTCATACATGTAAACGTTTTCAAAGTCCATATGATGGGTTGTTGGAGAGTAAGAGCAGAATGGAATACTGAGATAAACCCTTTCAATTGTCATTTTCTAGTTTTGTTGCAACAACTTATCTTCAGTAGCTGTTCAGACTTCAGAGCTGGACTTGCATTCTCTTACTTTTAGAGCGGAGTTTTGAAAATAAGGAATAGTTTGGATAATTACAGCAAAATCGGACACAACAACTCTGCTAACTGCGACACCCATCAGGAGTTCTTACTAGTAGGCTAACTTACCTGATTGTTGCTGCTGTGTAAGTCGGTTTCTTTTCAATACTGTGGTCATCAGTGCTTAAGACGTTTTGTACCGCTGGTCAGTGCTTCAGTGTACAGCAAATGCACGGAATTAAAGGGCAAAATGAGGCAAGCGTGTGGGGCAGCCCTTGAAGTGCGAACGTCAGCATATCAAGACCCTGCTTATTTTTTCCATACTTTCTTGAAACATGTAAAACTTATACGTAGAAACCAGAGAGGGGTGCTCTGTTGATTTAGATGTGACTTGGAACTAATTCTTCATGCTCTGCACTCTTGTGATCAAGATCTGGGATAACTTTGGCTATGCTTACAGTGGGACTGGTGGTCTCTAAGCAAGTGAGTGGGTAGACAATCAGAGATGATGGAGAGGATTTCAGCAGTTCTCCTCTTCTGATGCTGCAATAGTAAGCAAGCTAAATAGATGACAGTAACAAGTACCTTTCAACACTTTTTGCATTGTTCCAGTGATGCAAAATAGCAATTGTAAGCCCACTGTAGCGGTTGATACTTTCCAATTGTTTTGATGTCCCAGAAAAGGAGCCCTTAAAGTTGAAGGTTTGCAGTTGTTGTGGTCTGTTCCTTTTATTTGTTTAATTCTTGCTTGGTATATTTCTCTTTTGAGTTTCATTGTTTGTTCTATTCATACACAAGCTGCAAAAATTCTGAGCTAGAATACTTAAGAGTGTCAAGGTTTAGAGTAGATAGAAGAATAAAAACTAAGTTATAACATAAAATTTAACAATGGCTGTACCATCTCTGACCATAACAGTAACCACTATCTAATTTTGCAGTGTCCTGTCCACATATGTAGCAGCCCAATTGACAGTTCAAAGTAAACAGTATGATGTGAAAAAATCATGGATCTTCTGTGCTTGATGAACTCTGTGGGATTTAATGTGCCTGCTGTCCTAACACGGAGTGGTTTGTTTCTGACCAGCTGTTACGTGTCATCACGATCAAGGATGACAGAAGTATTAGGGCAGTTTCCCCCTGGTGACTGAGATCGGTGGTCACTGTATCGCCTCAGTGCTGGAATCCCTGTAGCTACTGCCCTTGTTGATGCTTATTGATAAATTGGATTTTTCTTCTTATCACCTGAATTATGACCCATTCTACTTATGTAACCTCAAGCTTTTTTCATCCCATACAGATAGGCTCAGGAAAGTGGTTGAGGTTTTGTTTGTTTGGTTGGTTTTTTTTAATGTCATTTGGCTGTCTGACTTTTGTATGACTTTAATTTTGCTGTGAGGTTTCAACTTCTCTTCCCCTTGAAAGGGGGGGGTATTTTTTTCAATATTTTTCTCAATCTATGAGAAATAAAGAGCCTTTCCTCTGGTGTGTCCTTTCTGCCTATCATACTTCATTATCCACCTCAGTTAATTTACGTGTCTCTTCCTGTTTTTTTTCTTCCCTGAGTTCTTTTCTCTGTCTCAAATTCTGTCTGCTTTGAACCTTTTCTGTTCACTCAGACTTAACAACTGTTTCTGTCCCTTGCTGTGATTCTTAGCTCTTGCCAAACCGAGGTCTGTAGCCTCTCATAGGCTTGGCACTAAATTCATGGTTTGCAATCCATATTTTCTCTCCTGTAGATCTGTTTCATGGGGTATGTATCTTCTGTTCTTAGCTTTCTAATCTCTTTATCATTTTCCTATGTGATCAGTTTATTTCCCTTACAAAGTGCCAAACCCAAAACAATCATGAATAGAAGAAAACTCCATGAATTTTGAGACTTAAGTTTAGAAAGAACATTTTACTATTGCTGTTGGGAGAGGAGGGTCATTCTTTAAAAAGTTTATCTTGTAACATTGGAAACAAATCTCTTATTCACAGGAAAATTATTTAACTCAAGTTTTCTGAGGCGCAGTGGCCTCTCTGTCGATAGTTACCGTGTAACAACACATGCATGCCATCTCCTGCTTCCCAGTGCAAAATGTACACAGTTTTGTGTTATGGTAAATACAGACCGACTTAAAAATCGCTTACCCTTGTAATAGGTAAATGCAAAGCAACCTTTGGGTTTTAAGTGGTTGAAGGATAGAAGAAAGGTTGTACTACCTTTGAGTAAATGTGACATGTAAGATTCCAGTCAAATCTCTTCAGTCCCTACTTCCCTGTGTTTTCTCTACCAGTAGCTACTACGGCCAGTCTGATCACATGAGTTTATCCATCTCTGTCAGTGTCAAAGAACGTATAGTCTTTCTGTCCATTTAAAAATATTCCTTTTTGACCTGGACAATTTGATTCATTCTTTTCTCCCCATCCCATTCCCCCCCTCCCCACACTTATCTGATCGTCTCTGTCACCCTGGCCTTCAGTTTATTTCAAATCTGATTTTATTGCTTAGAGGGCATAGCTCTCTTGCTTGTAAGGAAGCAGATCTTCCCCCTTTCAAGCATTCATTATGCAAATTGGAATAGAACCAGGTTTATCTGTTTGACCTGTTTATCTTGTTAACTCTTATTGCTAGAGAAAGGAGTAAGCAGGGAGAGGAGGTCCTCTTTTCTCTCATTTAGAGGCAGCATATGCAAGTAGCAGTGCTTCAGAGCACTCTTTAAAAAAAGGCAGACTGCTGCAAAATAGAAGATGTCTGACTACTAGAAGAGACTTTTTCATGGCGTGAAGGAGAGAGTTTCCAAAGGGTCAGCATTAGTGAATATAAGTTCTATTCTTTATCAAGGAGTTGGAAGAAGACCAAACTGAGACTGGGGATGTAATTTGGTCTTCCCCCCCCTCCCCCCTCTTCTGTATTAGCAAGCATATAAGAAACAATTTAATTCTCATTACATTTTAAAGACTAAGGTGCAGTAGCTCGGAAGCTGTTCAATTTTTCCTTCTGCTGAAGTAAACTTCAGTCAAAGGAGGAGGTTGGGTGTCTGGGGGTGGTTTCCACATCAGCCATCTGGTTTTGCTGGTACTTGAGTCAAAGCCCACAATTGTCTCCCTTCTCCTTTCCCCTCAGCTGCCCCTCCCTCCCCACCCCCCCAAACATGTAGTTTAGCTGCCGGTGCATCTTTGGGGTGGAGCCACAGTTTTATTCCTTGTCACCTGTGCTAGAAAATGAGTTTTGTTCCCTGTACCCGCTACCCAGTTTGGGATCAGGTGATGCATGTAGCTCACAGAGGGGAGTAAGCTGATTCTTTATATTGCCTTATTTCCCTAAACAGCCATGCTATGCTATCTTTCATGTCTTTATGCTTTGCATGTCTTGTAACTCTTTTTTCCTTTTGGCAGAGTTCAGTTTTCTTCCTAAATCCTTTCTGTATAATGATGATCTTATTTACAGGCAAAGTACTTCAACTTTTCTAGACCTTTTCAGTAGCCAGCATGGTAGAAAGCGTTTGTAACATCTGAAAGATCTTGCTTTTCAGCTCTTCCATGAAGGAGGAACAACGGAATTCAAAAGAAAAACTTCTCTAGGGTGACAGCCTTGGCAGCTAACTGGAATGTTGGAGCTCAGAGCTGCTTTGTCAATTGAAAAAAAAAAAAAAAAAAAAAAAAGCCATGCAATGAAGTGACTTAACTCCCCTGGGAAGAGGACACCAAAAAGGAAAACTAGAGCAATTAAGTGGTAGTGCAGACAGTAGAATATGAGTTGCATTTGGTGAAATTGCAAAGAATGAAGATGGAAAAATTTTTCCCCGAGTGTGAGTACACAGTAATGTTACAATTGGGCTAAAAGAAGCAATCTGTCCAGTCTCATTCAGTTTCTGTGTTTCTGAAGTGTGCTAAATTTTTAGATACATCTGTACAGTTCAACATACATATTAGAAGATATTTCATTTCCTAAATCAAGCAATAAAAAAAGTTATAAATATGTAATTGATGTGGTTCCTGTTATCATACAGAATGACGTTATAAGAAAGAAGTTCCAGAATAAGAAAATGAAAAATGTTCTCCCTGTTCTTACCTCGTATTATCTTACTTATTAATATGCTAGGCTGTGAACTTAAAAACTTCTTAAATATGGATATTTGTGACTTTTGGTATTGGCAAATCCCTTTTCTTGTCCTTCCTTGCAGTTGATTAAATATGCAAAGTATTCTGTATTTCCTGAAGCGTGTTATCCAGTGCTTGTGGATAAACTGTTAACATAAGTCTTAAAAGCCTTTTGCTATTTTGAACAATTTACATAAAATTGGAGTTTAACCTGGTAGAAGCACAGTTACGTTTGTGAATGTAACTTGAAAGTGCCATTTACTCTACAAATCTACATGTGTTTGGAAACATTGCTGCCTCCTTTGGTGCAGAAAGGTTTTGATTTTTTTTATTGTAAGATTTTGATATTTCCATTCTATAGTGGAATAAAACACATTTTTCTTACTTTCATACTGTAAACAAGTGAATTGTAACTGCAGTTTCAAGGTTCACCTTAGAAAACCTGTTTGGTGTTTTGCCAGCGGGGAATATATTTTTTGTCTACTAAGTAAGCAGGTATTGAATTGGCATATAAGTGATTTATTTATAGGAAATATTCCCTTTTAAAGTTGTCTGGCACAATAGATTCTTGATAGGAATTGGGAGTCTATTATAAAGTGCTGCTAGAATACATTATCAATTTAAAGCCATGAACAGAAAATCCCCAAATATCACTCTTGCTTTCAGAGCAAAATATAAAGTACCTCAACTTAAAGCACCTCAGGAAAAATACACTGCTGTTCTGAAGCTCTTCCAGATCAGTCCCTGACAGCGACACTGTTGGTTCAGTTTCTCCCCGGCCTACAGCCTCTCTGCACAGAACGGAGCAGGGTGTTAAATTTGCTGTTTAGCGTGGTTTCGTGGGTTGCACAAGTATGGCTTCATGAACCACATTTAACAACCAGTACTTACAATCACAGAGCAAATTAGTGTAGGAATAAAGATTTGGGTTTATTCTTTTCCTGGTTTAGTTTGGCAGTAGCTGTTATACTGCTATCAATAATATGAGTCTTCCATGGAAAAAAGGAAGGTAGACTTGGATTTTGTAGTCGTTTTTAACAAGAAAATCTGACAAACAGCATTCACCAGATACATAGGAGAACCAGCTTTAACTGGATTTCAGATTTATTTTTGGAAAAACTGCAGAGACCAGAAACAGATTGTTTTAATTGTGACTGTGTCTCAGAACATGTCGCATTTTGAGGAACTTTCTGAAAGTGGTAAAACCAGTGAGATTACACACACCCACAGTAGTTTAAATATACAAAAAGGTACACGAGGCAGCTAACTAGTGATATGTGGTCCATAAAAAGAGAAATTTGGCTTTCTTTCAGAGATTAATTTTTTCTTAACCTAACACTTTTGGGGCTATTTATGATATCTACATTTCATACTAATAGTGAAGATTTGATAGAATGAAGCATTCTCAGCTTCGTCGTGTTTTGCAGTTGAGATGACATGAAGGGCCCTTCTTTACAGGAGATAACACACAAAATTTTCACAACCTGAAGCAGAATCCTTTTTGTAACTATTTTTTTTTCATCCAGAAAGCGTGAGCAGCTGGGTGGGGGCGTGAAGAATGAGAGGAGTTTGGAACAGAATGTCTTGAGCGTGTAAATGGTCGTATTTGTGAGCAAGAAACAGCAATCTCTTTCTGAGGAGGGTAGAATACAGAATCTATACCAAGCCTGTTACAACATTTGAAAGAAGAAAAATCATGCAAAGGTAAAATGTAAAAAAGCAAAAATCCGTAGTAAAACACTGCCTAATTATGAATAAAATTTGGAAGACAGGTGAAGGCAAAGGATGGTGGACATTCCCAGGATTCATAGCCCTCTGTTCTGCTGTTGACTTTTCAGCAGTGGGAATTTTTTTTACCATATGAGAAACCCAAACCATTCTATGATTCTATGACTGTGAAAAAAGCTGCTGCTGGTAGAAAAATAAATAGTGACTCTTGCACAAACTGTAAGGGTTGCCTTGATGGCTGTATATTAGGGGAAACAATTGTAAACTTTCTAATCAGGGTTTATCAGAGTGTATATATTTGAGAGTGGCAAGACAAAGAAGCTTTCTTCAGTCTTTAGCCAAACTGAAAGCAGATCTGGGGAGGTAGTACTAAAGCATTATATGTAACTGTTAAAACAATACAAATGGACCATAAGTCTTGAATACATGTATTACTAATGCACACTGACGTAAATGGCTCATAAATAGGTAAAGTGCCAGAAGTACCTGTATCTTAATTCACCATGTGGAGGAAATGTGAAAGCAGGCATCCCAGAAAAAGTAAAATTTACTTCTTGCCTGTAAACTTTGTAGAAAAATATTGTAGTTGTTCCAGCTTTACAAGTATTAAAACAAAGTATGAGTATTAAGCAGTTAATGTAGAGAAGTTCAAATTAATGTGAATAAAAAATAAAAAATCCCAAAAATTATTAAAGGTACAAACCCATAGATTTTAAGAAATGACATCATCATATAGGGCATTTGTACTGACTATAGTTAATAGCTTACATACCCTTAAAACAGGTTGCTGGAATACAAAGCAACCATATACCTGTAATTCAGCCTATTTTAACTGAATTAAAATTCAGCCATTTTCATCTCTTCCTGTCATTATTGTATCTCCATAAACAAATAGCTTTCTTAGCTCGTACTTTGTAACATCGCTATTAAATACACTAGGTTGTTCTTCAGATTTATTGTTACTTCGCTAATTTTGTCACGTATTCCATTCTCTTTGAAATAACAGCTACTAGAGAATAGCTGGCTCGCGTACTTGGTCTGGTGGCAAAAACATGAGTGCGTACTAAAATTTATCAATTGTTTTTTTCTTTCAATCTTCAGATTTCCTGTTTAAGTTCTTGGTCATAGGAAATGCTGGAACTGGAAAATCCTGTTTACTACATCAATTTATTGAAAAGAAATGTAAGTATATGTCAGCATAGTAAGAGTTCTCCATTGCTTTGTACCAGATGAAGGCTCTGCCTACATGAGTATCTATTCTTTGTATGGAAGTTCCCATAATTCTCTTATTTGTATAGATGAGGATTTTGACTGAGAATTATGGTCAGAGCCATGCTGTCTATCTTTACTGCTCACTGTTTGCCTCTAATAAAAAACCTGATATTAAGCATTATTCTGTATTACTCTCAAATAAATACAACAGGATGTTGATGAAAATACACTTACTTTTTATGAGAATTATGTCTTGCAGCTATAAGCTTCCCTAGATATATAGTAGAGACTTGGGTCTTTCAGAAAAAATACTGAGCAGATGAAAGAAAAGTTGAATTGCTTGAGTAGATTTAGAAAGCCTGTTGGACAGAACTCAGATCTCCCAGCATCTAGTCTCTTTCTAAGTAAATAGACACTCTGTGTTCTTTGTCAAGGACTGTGTTCTGTGATAAATAGTAGTAGAGACCCCATTGTAAATGTTATTTAGAGATGAATCGATGATATAAAGAAAATTTCCTGTTGGGTAGTGCATTTAACATCATGATTAAACAAAAATAATATGCATTTGGAAACCTTTGTAAATCTAAGGTGACTGTTAGCTTTCTCAGCTGAATAGTAATTCACCTTATCTAGGAATAGCTCTAGGACAATAATGTGTAATCACTAAGGAAGATGGCATGATTCTGTGATCGAACTTGAACCGTGACCTTGCTTCTAGTATGGGCAGTTGTATATTGCTGAGAATCTGTGATATCAGCAGTGTACATAAAGCAAGTATCTTAACTTTGTACTTTAAAGAAGAAGTAGCTCTTGCTTATTCATGGGCAAGACTGTGTCTTTTTGTGTTCTGCTTTTCCATAAATTTTAATTTTAAATTGCATCAACGTATTAGAAAACAAACTGGGGGAAGAAAGTGTACAAAAGTGTACATTTATTAGTGTGAACAGGGAATGATTTGATTGAGGCAGGCCTTTCTAGCAGTAATTTTGAATCATATAAGCTGTTCAAAAATTGTAAGACTGTTTACTTCTGCATGGTGGCAGTAGACTTAAGAGTGGCACTGAATCTGAAGTTCAGGAAGTAGTTCGTAATTTGAACACTGAGGAGTTTTGATTATACCTAAATTGGATTATGTAAAAAATAATTATTCACTTTAAATATTCTCCAAATAAGGCTGTTTTTATTTCTTTTTTTTGTAGTCAAAGATGACTCAAATCATACTATAGGAGTGGAATTTGGTTCAAAGATCGTAAATGTTGGTGGTAAATATGTAAAATTGCAGATATGGGATACAGCAGGACAAGAGAGATTCAGGTACCCTTTTCAATCATTTTATTAAGTGTTTGTTATGAAGTTGTTGCTATGGGTGTTGGGTATTATTTATCCCTGCTTATAAGTAGGCATAGTTTCTTGGTCAGTGGAACTGTTTGCCTACGTTCATAGTATTAACTAGGCCAGATCTTCCAATTTGGATATGGCAACATAGATCCATTGATTTCAGTAAAGCAATGCTGCCTTGCAGGATCTGAGGTTCTGCCCTTCTTTCCTTGGGTATTTTCTGTGATAGTTAAGGTTTTTTAACTAACTGTGTGTGCTTAACTCTGTGTTTAGAAGACCTTCTATTGGTTGGAATAAGTAAATGCCAGGAAGTTGTAAGCTGTTCAAAATCTGCGTGAGAACAATTTCATAGTATAATATTATTTTATTAGAGGGAAACAAATTAGTTGTCAAGTTCACTTGGCTACATACACTTCTAGAAAGACGGAGATCTCTTCACTTGGCCCATGCCTTTCTCCACTTCTCAGAAGTGGAGAAAGGCTCTTCAAGAAAAAGCAATGTATTTGTCAGCTTAGAACCACTAATGTACTTTTAATGCTGTATTTTAACTGTGTCCTACATCTGAGGCATAGATCAAACTCAGTAAAGATCCAATGTATTCCTGAGTACATTCACCATCAAATAGGACATCAGGTTTTTTTATATTTTAGGGTGTGTGTGTGTGTGTGAGGTTTCTTTGGTTTTGGGAGGGGGGGCAGTGGTTGACAAAGATGAGTATGGTGGTAGAAGTCTGAGTAATGGGCAGCAATCGAGGTAAATGTCCTCTATTAGACAAGTTCTTTGCATATATCCGTGACTAGGTAAAGCTGGGCAGTGCTATGTAGTCTCCATTAATGAGATCTCTTCAGTGTGTTGGCCAGATACCCTGGGATTCGGAGGAGCTTGGAGGCTCTGTACTTTCAGAGGCTTGTGCAAATTCTGCTCTTTCAGGTTCAAAGTATTCACAGCCTTGCAGGTCCTTTTTTTCCTGTTGCTTTTTATAACCTATGTAATTCTTTTCTTTTTAAGGCTGATCACACCCCTGCATACTTAGCAGGTTTCTTCTTCTTCTTCCTCTACCTTTTGAAGGATGCTTTGCTTTGATTTCCTTGCCTCCTCCTCTTCAGCCTAAGGAATCTTAAATTGTTCAATTACAGCTACATTGCTCATTCTCTCCTCACTGCTGAGAGTTCAAACATAAGTTAATTATGCTGTTTTCATGCCACAGATACCACCATCAGCTCCCGGTTCTGTATCAGGCCATATAGTATGATGGTATTGTAGCGTCAGCAGCACACAGGTCATAATGGACTTTGAGAATCCCTGTACAGCTATACTTAGTGAAACTGCTTCGTCAAAAGTCTAGTTGTAAATAGTCTGCTGGTGCACAGCTGATAACATTGTCTAAAACACACATTTTATTTTAAATATGTAAATGAGAATTCTGTTTCATAATACAGATTGTGTTATATTAACCCAGATTTGAAACAATGAAGATATTACAGAAATGTACATATGTAATTCTATTTCAGGTCTGTAACAAGGAGTTACTATAGAGGAGCTGCAGGTGCTTTGCTTGTCTATGATATAACCAGGTAAGAAAGCTCTTACCTACAACTCTTTTGCTTGTAGACTACGAGATACACTTAATGCAGAATGATTCCCCCGATGGATAATGGGCAGGATTCTCAATTAATGCATAATGATTCTCCTCTAATGGAGAATGGGCAGGAAGAAAGGAAAATAAGTGTAAAAAATACTTCTGTTTTAGTGTGTATTTAAGTTTTGGAACTTGCTTACATGAGATATTGTGAATGTCATAAATGTAAACAGTCTCAAAGGGTTAGACAAATACATGGAAACTGGTGCACCAGTAGCTGTTCTAATGGACTACATGCAACCACCGGCTCAGCAAGCCTTGCAAAGGAAACAGAGCAGACTTCAGCCACTTTTAACCAAGGTGGTACACACCTATTTGTGGAATCTGCTTAATAGTATGCTGGTATAACAGGTCAGCCTCTGGAGAAGCTCGCTCTACCTACACATTCCTCAACAACAAGCCCAAAATTCAGTTCATCGCTGCATTTTTTAATATTTTAATATTATAGGCAGCCAATAGAATTACCATTACACATTTCCACATTTTTTCCTGGCCACCATTGACTGGTACTTGGCAGATAAGTTTCGTGTTGGCTAATCATAATTTGCTAGATCTGTTGCTTTTTGTCCTGTGAGTGGACTCTTCTCCTCTGAGCAGTCTTTGAAATCTGTGTTTTGTGCTTAAGGTGAGTTGGACTCATTTGTCAGTCTTCCTACTTGAAGGCTTTATCTTTGACCACCACTACAATGGCTAATGGTGTGTGCAGGGTAACTGCCTGAGATGTTATTTGTCTGGACACAACTGTGAAAGTTCAGGCAGGTAATTCTCCACAACTGTAGTAAATTCTTACAGTCCCACCTGAAACTTAAGTATCAGTTGAATTCCATGTTAAACAAGAACTCATTCTTTTATCCCAAAATTTCATGCACAAAAGGCTGAAACTAGATTAGTGCTTAAAATTTTAGCTTTTTGCATTAACAGGGTATTTTATAATTGTGTATTGTTATTTATATGTTGTGGATGATTTAATTTTGCTTTCTAAAAACTTTAAGCTCTTAAATAGTTTCATGAAGGAACTTGATACTCTTCCCAGTTCATAGCTGGCATATTGAGATATGTAGGTGACTTGCCTGAATAGCAAAAATTTGTGGTTTGCCACAAATACAGATTTGCCTTCTGAGCTTTAGTTCAGTGATCTGTTCACTAGAAATGAGTGTGTTCTAATAAAGGATGTTGTTTTCTACATAGCCGGGAAACCTACAATGCACTTACTAATTGGTTGACGGATGCAAGAATGTTAGCAAGTCAAAATATTGTGATAATTCTGTGTGGAAACAAAAAGGATCTTGATGCAGATCGTGAAGTTACTTTTTTAGAAGCATCCCGGTTTGCACAAGAAAATGGTAAGTAGTACGATATCTTCATGTAGCATTCAAAGATCTCAATACTTAAAATAATGGGGGGTTTTGTGCAGTTAGGGAGTACCTTGCCCACTGTACCTTGTCAGATACCTACAGAAAAGAGAATTCTGTCAGTGCATGAGGCACAGAGAGAGGACAACGCCTGCAGTGAGACCTACACGTACTATTTAAGTCTTATTAACAATGACTCTTCCAGTCACAGCTGCTGCTTAACGAACACCTTCTATGCGAAGATATATTCCCTAGGGAATGTAATACAACTTCAGGTATTGCCTTGCCTCCAAAGGGCTGAGGAGGAAATGAAGAGCACGATTTCCTAGGTTTCAGCATCTTACAGATTCTATAGATTATGGACAAGGTTGGATGGGGGTGTGCTGCAATTGGAAGCAATGAGTTTTACTCATAGGAAACTGAGCTCAGTGGATGGCATGGATCCATAGGACTATTACCTGGTCTGTAGTATTCAGAATTTCCAGTCTGAGGACACATTTCTGTGGCAGCTAAAGCCAGTCTCAGTCTGAGCTTCCGTGCTTCTGTCCTCCCATCAATAAAATCTGGTTTTGCTTTTATAAATCAATTCTAAATAGTCTTTTCTACCAACTGTGGCTGGCTGTCCTTTTGCATATAACTTTCTATTAATGGGAAACTGTATGAAGTTCTTTGGTTTCATGCGCTATTTTGCATGCACAGCCCAGGTTATTGTCTTTGGATTCCAAGTTTCTAGGGTTAATGTATACATTTCAGAGGAAGTTTTTTGTGGTTTTGCCATCAAAAACTAATTTTTCTGGACCATACTATTTGACAGTAGTTCTCCTTAAGAAAACTTTTATTGTTCCTAGCTTTCATGCTTTGAATTATAATATCAGATATTCCAGACTTGTTTTGAGATTGTTTTTCTGATGTCAAATGCAGAGCTGATGTTCTTGGAAACAAGTGCACTAACGGGCGAAAATGTTGAAGAGGCCTTTGTACAGTGTGCAAGAAAAATACTCAATAAAATTGAATCAGGTAAATTGAGATTTTTATTCTTTTAATGTTTTTGGTTTTGGTTTTTTTCTGAAAACTAAAAGTACACATGGAAATATCGCCATTCAAAGTTCTGTAATAGAATTAACCCAAAGAACCAAAATTTCATTGTGGTAAAATAACCCATTTGGTTTATAGCTGCTTCCCATATGTTTTAATAGGAATGGATGTCTTAAGTCAGATCTGTATATCTAAAAGGCAAGGTGGTGTGAATTATGGATGTTTTTACACAGTGTTTACCTTAACAGTCAACTGAGTGTAGGCTGTGCATTCTGTGGGTTGCTATGTCCCTACAAACATCAAGCCTGACATTAGACAGTTTTAGCAATGCCGAATAAAAACCTAGGATCAGGGCAGACATAACTTTTAATGCTGCTTCTCATATGTAGCAGGAAATACAGTCAGGAGAATTTGAACAATAATACTGAAAATTTCAGGGATGTTTCCTAGCAACTGTGTTTCTCTGCAGTGACCTTCCTGCCTCTCAGTTGAAACCAGTTTTACTTTTGCAGATCTAGAAATAAACCAGAAGCTTCTCAGCACAAGTGGGCAGGTTTCCATCAGAGACAGGCTCCTAAGTGTTAGGTGTCATTACAGCTAATTTGTATTCCAGTTTTCCTCTCTTATCTTCTAGTTGTTTGATATCTTCAAAGTTTGGCCATATTGAAATATTGGCCATATTGAAAAGTCTGTCTCAGACTCTAATTACACATTTTGAATGCCAAACACAAATTTTTAGATGAAAAGAATATGGTATTTTCATGGGAATTTCCTGATTACTGCATCAAATCAATGCCAAATATCACCTTTCATTTTAAACAAGCAAACAAACAAAAAACCAAAGAGCAAAGTATAGCTAGTTTCTTATGATACTGTAGTTCCATGACTGATTCAAAGAGGCATTACCACAACAGAAGTAAGTCCTGTTTTCTGTGAGCTGCTACTGTTTTCTTTGTGCCAGCACACATGCATCGAATCACAGAGAAATTGAGACTGGAAAGAAGCTATGGAGGTCTCTAGTCCAGCCTTCTGTTTAAAGCGTGTTCAGGTTCAAAGTGAGAGCAAGTTGCCCAGGGCTTGTCGAGGCACATTTTGAGATGCTCCAGGAATGGAGGTTCCACAGCCCCTCTAGGCAACGTGTCCCAGTGCTAACCAATTGCTGCTATCTACCTAGTCAGTCCCCAGCCTGTACCAGTGCTTGGGCCTGTTCCTTCCATCACAGGTGCAGAGCTCTGCATGTGTAGCTGCTGAATTTCATGAGGTTCCTGCTGGCCTGTTCCTCTAGTTCAGCCAGGCTCTTTTCTGAATGACAGCCCTACCCCCGAGCTATCAACTGGTCCCCTCAACATGCTGCCATCTGTTAACTTACAGAGGGTGCGTATGTGTGCAATGAACCTGAATAAGTGGTCTGAATTATTCAGAGGGATTCTTTCTTTCTTTTTTTTTTTTTTTTAAGAAACTAAATGTTTCTAATCTTGGCCAGTCCGCCATACAGCCATAAGAACATTTCTGAAGGCACAGGGTATGGAGTAGGCAGAAATGGATACCAGAAGTGGGGAAGGCTGAGATAATTTCCTCTGGGGGCAGTGCTTTATGGAATCCTGCTGTCAGATTGATCCATTTTTGTTTGGCTTAGTATCTACAGTACTTCTTTCTTTGCATATTAGTCTCTGAAAGCAGGTGTTTTTTAACAGTGTTCACAGAAAACATTTTGGACATTTCCTTTGTTAGAAGTAGCTAGTGCAAATACATGTCTTGTACCAGCTTAACTCATAGACAGACTGCTTTTTCATTATGATTAAGGGCAGATGGTTGAAATTACAGGAGAAAATGATACGGGTTTGGAATTGCTTAAAAGTAAACAGAATTGCAATAGATCTTTCCATAACTAGAGTAGAATATCATTATGCATTTTTATCTAATGTTGTCAGTTAAGTTAGAATGTATTATTTGCAAGTGATCTATCTTCTTGTGACCATTTTGTTTCTCATCAGGAGAATTGGATCCTGAAAGAATGGGCTCAGGTATTCAGTATGGAGATGCTGCCTTGAGACAGCTGAGATCACCACGTAGAGCACAAGCACAAAGTGCTCAAGAATGTGGGTGTTAAAGAAACAAAACACAAAATCCCGAATACTCACTTTACATACAAAAGGTAAGGTTACAAAAATCTCAGGGTGTTGGGTAAATTACCATATTTCATAAATGTGCTGTATCGAGCGCTTGGCTTTTTCACAGTTAGCCTGTAAATTAACATAGAATATAGTGAAATAATGCACAGTAGAATGGCTTTTTTTTTTTTTATATATATACTTTGATTTTTCTTCTACCATCTGCCCACTAAAAGCAAGGCTAGTGCTCTTACTGAAGTATTTATAGATCTTTGCTTACTCTGAGTAACGCTGTGGAAAACATTGAAAAATTCTGTATTCCTGAAATGCATTATTGCCCTAATACTTACCTAATGCACTGTAGAGAAGGCAAATCATTTGTGTTGTATCATGGAGAAATATTACTAGAAATGAGAATTCACAAAATGTATGGTGCAGTATCTTGTCCAAAGGTATTATATAGTCTTTTCTGAAAATACGACATTTAAAGACTGAGACTTGAAAATTAAAGATAATACTGGATTTCAAACTTCCACTTCCCCCTCCCCGCCTAAAACCAGCCCAAAGTGGTTCTGATTCCTGTCTGCTATGAGCAGAAACGTCAACAAGAGAATAGTAGTATTTGCTGCTTAAGCAGTGTTGTCATCTAAAGTAGCTCTTCTAGGGCTGTTGCAGCCTATGGAATGGGTATGCAGTCTTTTGTCTTCCAAAGACATCCTTCAGAGGAAGTGAGGAACAGATTTTTCCCTTTAGCAGTAGTAGGGGAAGAGAGCTAAAAGTCACATAACCTACTCGGAAGAACAGTTTGGCGGTTGGTCTTTCTTATAAACAGTTGTCCTTAAGACACCTCTCAGTATTCGCTGATTTTACTTAACTCCTTGCAGTATGTAAGTGTCTGTCTGTTAGGACAGTCCTTTCTCCTTCACTCAGTGAGGGTAATTAAGGAATTGCTGTGTAGTTAATTATTCTGATACCATTAATCCTTATTTCTCTAATACAAGGACAGCGATATCAAATTAACAAGTACTGCAGGCATAGTTACTGCATCATTTTTACTGTATTCATTTTTCATCAGTTTGAGCAGTGCACACCAGCAGAAGCTTTACAGAATGTTAAATAAGGCAGCATGTAATTCTACATTCTCATATTTGGTCTATATTCCAGACGCTTAGCTCCCAATTAGAGCTCAGAATTTTAAATAACGGATAGGAATCCTTGAACTACTTTTCTCCCTTGTTTTCCTTCTATAAAATGTCATCCTTCAACTAAGAGGCTGCTGGAAAAGGACATTAATTTAGTCCAGCTTTGGTACAGCTCTACAGGAGTGAATAGTTATCGATCTTATTTCAGGAGCTGAGTTTTCAGATTGATCAGATGTAGATAATTGATGGAGTTCTTGTGTATTTTACAGCTGTCTTTGCAAATGGTGTTTGAAGAAACAGAAAAGCTTGAAGGCTATGCAGTTTTTAGAAACATCTTTCCAGTATCTACAGACAGAGCAGACCACTGCTGACAGAAAGGTGTACTGTGTGCTGTGGGGCAGGAATGTTCACGTGACACAAAAGTCTGCAAAGCAAACTTGATAATTCGGTGGACGATATTAAGACTCATACCTGTATGTAAACATTTTCCATTACCTATTTTTGTTCTTTCACCTCTAGTTTAAAGCATTGCTATATACTGTAAATAATGTAACAGTAAACTTACAAAGCATGGTATACTTACGTATGCTGATAGAGTGTTGCACTACAAGCGGTTTAATATTTTATTTTTTTATCATATAAACAAATTTAACTGAGGTAGGCTTTGTCATGTTTGTTTGTTGCACAATAGTTTATAACCACTGGCACTGTCAGTGAGAGGTTGTTTTATTTCTTCCTACTTAGTTTGCCACCTTCTAAGCAGCTGTTGACATGACTGGTTCTCAACATATGGTTAGGACCCATACTTATGTTTACTAATATGTCAAGTTGGAAAAGGAATTTTTATTGATGTTCACATATCCTATTTTATCACAGTTACTTAAGTAACTTCTGAAGGTCTTTTATCAAACTTTAAAAGTTTAGAACAAATACTTTAAAGTCTCTCAAATGGCTGTTGACTGACTTGGATTTTTTTCTTAGTCCTGATGTTTTGTAAAGCACTGGTATCATGAAGGTGGAATGTATGTGTGAACAGAACTGTGCATCTTCTCTGTGTGTTGTAATTCTAGGGCAGGGGCATGAGCTTATGGAGAATTATCACAGTAGGCTTTTGTTTTGCCAGATAAGGAGCTGCAGAACCGAGCTCGTGTTTCTGGAGGTAGCTGCGTTCAACCAATTGAGGCGGGCAGTTTCACTTGCACTGGTGGAAATCACTAGTGACGTTTTTACTTAGTCACTTGTATAACTAGAAATGGGATGTCTCCTTGGAAGTGCAAATTAAAACAAAATAATTAATTTGATCATAACCCAGTATTGAAATTCCAAGGTCATACATGCTTTATTATTTTCTCTATATGAATCTTTTTAAGGGTCACTTGGCAAATGCATGTTTAAAAACTAAACCGATGCTGTAATTTAGAGGGCAGTTAAAGCACAAGAACAAAGCAAGAATGCTACGCAGAGGCATACCATCTTTCATGGAATTGGAATTATGTTTAAAACTATTCCCTTCATCCTGACATTTGGTTCAAATGAATGCTTATCTGAAAACTATACACCTTGGGTCATCTCTGAATTACAAGGAATTAAATATGCTTTGTACTTGAAAAGCCTAGGTTTAGTTTTAAAAAGGCTGTTGGGTCCAAAGACTTCTGTGTTATCTCTCTCTCCTGTGTATCTTGTTATATGTAGGACTGGATTTGTTACATAACTGATAATGATTATTCCCAAGTACTGCTAAGAGTGTAAAGTATTTTTGAAGCAGCTTAACTTGTGCATTTACCACAGCATCAAAGAACTCCAAAGAAACTTACCTGTCTTAATCCTCACTCAATTTGTTTTGGCTTCCACTACTTAGAACTGGAAGGAATTACCAAAAGCAAGTCCTGGGAGGTAGCTGTTGGATGGAGTTGTCTCCTCCACCAGTCCAAATGGCATGTTATTAACTGAGACACCTTGTGTTTCTGCCAGAGTTGGGGAGGGAAAGGTCTTGGTTCTGAAACCCCAAACCAGTTCTGGAATGCTGGGAAAAGATGAGATTTTGGGGAGTCTGTTCCCCCCCCACCCCCTCCACCCCTTCCTCCTCCCGGCACGAGTCGAGGCGTTGAAACCCTGCCGTCCTCCGAGCCCGGTGCCGGCGCAGACCGCGGGCACGCTCCCGGTGACGGACGGCCCGCGAGAGGCAGAGAGCCGTCCCCAAATTCCGGCTGGGGTTGGCCGCGGGGTCGGGGGGGGTTTTTTCCCCCCCCCCCCCCTTACTACAATCTAAACAGGTTTCTGGGTGCACTGACAAAAGTGAAAGCTGAGGACTTATTGATCAGCTGGGACATAGCACAAGTAAAGCTAAAGGTCTCTCCTGTCACTGTTACAATGGTTGAAGTGGCACTGGCTGTCGATCAAAACTCCTTTCCATTATTACACTAGCAGTTGAAAGGAGTGGGGGACTGTTACCACTTTTGTTGCTTTTAAATAGAAATTTTAGGGGTTTGGCAGGGATTTCTTATACTTCTTCTGCTCCTTTTCCCTTTACATGCAAGACTGGCCTCTTTTGTACACTCAGTTCTTATGATCATTTTTGTCAAGTGTCTGTGGTTAAGAAGCAGTAAGCACAGTTTTATTCTTTCTGTAACAAACTGTCTTAAGCTGTCCCCTTCCTACCTGGAAACAATAGTGTCATTATAATGAGTTTTGACATATTTTACCTTCTTTTTTTTAACATATACTCTTACTGTATACACATCAACCAGGTTAATGTGCATGTTTTGTAGTACCACCACCTTTTCTATGCTGCATCTCACTGACCTTTTAAAAGGAAACTTTCTGAAATGGCAACTCCTGAGGGAAATACTGTTGGAAGCAATAGCTTTCACCAGTGCAAGCTATATTGTTCACTGGTTCTCTTCTGGGGCATTTTATTTCTGAAAATAAACATCATGCCAATAACAGCCCTGTATCTATAGAGCAGATTTTAAGCTTTAGCATTATAGTTCACACAGCAAACCAAACCCAGCTCACCTAAACAGTAAGTGATAAATAGGTTAAATGATTGTGTTTTTAGTGTAAAATTTGTACTTTACCAAAGCAAGATGGCTCGGAGTTTTACATGAAATAATACTGGGTACCTATAACCTAGGATTTATTAGATGTGGAGCTTTAGCTGTTCAGACCTTTAAAAGATTTAAATGTCTTATTAAAGCCAATGTCTTGCCTTTTAATGAGTCTGTTGGCCTACACTATTTAATTAATGCTTGTATCTAGCACCAAATAAAGAATCTTTCTTGATTTTCTAGGTGTCTTACAGCAAATTCTGTTTACTTGTGCAAGTTTTGCCTGCTAAGTGAAGCCCATAACATGACAAACCTTAGATGGTCTTGAAAAAACACTTCTGCTAAATTCACTGCATAGTCAGCATGGGGCTAGGAAAGCAGCAGCAGCTGCTAAAGAAGCTGGAGTGCTTCCATGTATTTCCCAGAAGCAGGGCCCTCATTGCACTCTCTGGTAGCAGCTTTGCCTGTGGCATGTGAGGGCCCCAACCCTGCAACGCTGCTGCTGCTGCCACCACTCCCTGTTAGAGAGGAACAACACATCGCTTCCCTCCTGTGTGCCCTTAAGAGGTTATGGCTGCAAAGGTGCACCAACTTTCCTGCCATGGATATGCCTACATCTCTCAGAGAATGTGCCTTCAGAAGTTAAGGCTTTAAGAAACCTAAAGCAAGGGGACAATACAGAATGTATTTGCACTTACAACTTCTCCAGACTATCATCAGGCAATTCACAGTTGACCCATCTCTTGTCCATTCTTTGTATTTAACTAGGTACCTTGTGGCTCAAAAGTACACAGCTTCCGTAAGTCCTTAAAAAAAAAAACGCTATTAAAAAAACCCCAATTACTCATCTGTGTAACTCATTTGCATTATATTCTATATGCTGAAAGAATTAGTATTGAAATCTCAAGAAATACACTGTAAGTCCACTGAGAGTAAAGATACATAGTTTTGTTTCCTTCATTTACCGTGAAACCAGCAGCATACAGAACTTCAGCATAGCCATCCTTAAATAGCTTAACTTTTCCTATTTGGAAGAGTATACTTGTTCTTAGTGATAGAGCTTCCTGGTTTTTCCCCGTGTTACCTTCTTTTTCCAAAGTTCTACATTAAGATTCCCTAAAGCTTCAGCATGCATAGCACTTCAGATAGCTGTTATATTTTGGGCTCTATTTTTTCCTTGCTAGCGGTAGAAAAGGCCAGTCAGTGGGAAAGGGTATTAAGAATCTGTGGGAGAGTTACAGGAAGAACATAGGAGACAAGCTCAGCTCTCAGCTGGACTTTTATCTGTCCCTTTACCCAACACTAGTCCTTACAGAAGCCTGTCACTGACTTTCCAGAAGAGAATATATGGGACAAGCAGAAGCCACAGTTTGCATGCAGAGACTGAAGCACCCTGTAATGGAAAACCTGAGATCCCAAAAAAAAAGTACAAGCAGTCAAGGCACTGTGTGTCACTCATTTTATTCCCATATACAAGTTGACACTACACTATTAAATATAGACAATACAGAAGCATTAACAACAAATACTGTTTAAAAACTTTAAAAAACACATATTGCTTCAAGCTTAGATGGTATTTCCCTATAGTTTTTTAAAGTGAATTCAGTGCTAACAATAGCTGAGGCAGCTTCCCATTCAATTGTACCCCTAATTTTATAGGGGATACCATCAAGGTGTTGAGTCAAGCTCCATATATGGCTTTGCTGCTGAGTGCACTAACTGAGCTGGAAAATAAACTGGAACATTCAGGTTACCACACGAGGCCCTCAGATTGCTAGCTTTTGGTCCCTATCGCAGTAAAGGAAAAAAAAAAGTCAGAGAGGCCTTTATAATTCAGTGGCACTGCATTATACCATTAAAAAAAAAATGAGAACAGATACACTTCCCTACATGTTAAAAAATTGATTAAAATGTGCATTTGCTACCTGGATAAAATTCTTACCAAAAATTCAGGTCTGTCCCTCAGTTTTGTTAAGTTTGGCTCTTAAAGTTTAGCTATCACCTTGACTATCTTAGCTTCCAGTGAAAAAGTCTGTAATTCATAGTTGCAAAGATGTGACAGCAGTGACTGAACAGGCATGCTACTGTATTTTACAGGGACATACTTATGTAGTTTTACATTGTAAACACTAGTCTTCACAACACTATAGTTAAATTGCAGCATTACACATTGTAAAAGTCTTGTTTCACTTAGCTTAAGTACTTTCAGAAACAAAAAGGAATAAACAGTTATTTTAATGAAGACTTTGGACAACTGAGTATTTACTGTGTTCTTACAAAGTTCTGCTTCTAAAACAGGAGCGAGAAGTGTTCATCCCTTAACTGAATTCAAGAGTCCATGCAAGACAAAAAGTTTAGAACTTCCTTAATGGATAGGGTGACATTCACTAGGTTTTCCATTTTTTAGTGAGTCCAATTTGATGCAAAACAGCCACCTCCTGTAGGAATCTATGGAATACAATTAAAGCTTTTACACTTGAAAAGTTCCGCTTTCCAAGTCAATTGACTTTCCATTTGTTAACATCAAAACACTAAAATAACAGTTTTCCAGACTTCAGCCTGGCACATGCCAAATATTTTGCATACACAGCTTGCAGTGATCAGAACTATACTATTTCACATAGTCTAAGA